TGCCGCGAAGCCCGAATTCCGCGAGGAGACTCTAGCAGAATTGCGTAAAAACACTGACGCAGCTACAACGACGAAGTCTCGTGACTCCCGATTGAAACGAGCGGGAGGCTACAAGTCCGCGAAGCTGCTGTTTAGCCAGGCGAGACAGGAACATGTAGCTAGTGCGCATGTGATAGTACCCCCCGAAGTTTTACTCCGAATGTCCCAAGCTGAGAGGGCCGTTCGTAGAGGATGTCACCAGGATCAACGACACCAACGTCGAATTCCCCGACGCAATGCATTGGGCACAGTACCTGTGCTATCGCATCGATATGATTGGTCATCATCTGCTGCTGGTGGCTACTTCGAGGGATCGAGGCGGCGTCGGTCATGTTGAACCAAGCGTGGACAGAGATCACTCACTCGGGTCGCACTGCGTTCATCACATTGCACATCGTCGGCCTGTGCGTAACGAGGTCTCACCCATGCAGCTGCCACCGATCACCCTGTCTGTCTGCCTACAGCCTAGAAGTCCTGTTCGTCGGGTAAGGCTTTTTCTGCAAAGCCCAGTAGTCCCGAAGGCCGGACATACGGTCTACTTGCCAAGCTGCTAAACTCTGCCTAGTAGTCCCGTTCGTCGGGTGAGGCAATCCTGAGGCCTAGTAGTCCCGTTCGTCGGGTGAGGAAATGCAATAGTGCTGTTGTGCTGCGCTCCTTTTATTTGCATTTCAATTTGTAAAGCAAGGTTCGTCCCCAGTCCGTCCCAGACCCAACACTGGTGAGGTAGCCTCCTGGTCTTAGACTGAAGTTCATTGTTGATATGGGACGCTCCCGTCTGGTTTCTTTGTTTGCTGTTTCTTAGGCCTAGCTTGGGATCTTGGTCGGTTTCGGTATGCTATGCAAAACTTGCCCCATGGCTGGCCACTCATGAACATTAGCCGTTGTTAACCCGATGCCCGTCAAGGTGCGAGACTAACTCGTGCGAGCGTCTGAAGGAAAATGAAATGTTGTTGTTGTTGTTGTTGTGGTCGTCGTCGTTGTTGCTGGCGGCTGGATCCCCATCTTTGTGCGCAAGACCGACTGCCGCATCCATCGATATTTACGGTATTTCTGCTCCAGAGTGTGTCGGTGCCGTCGGTGTTCCTGGCGCTCCAAATTCACTTGCCGAAACCTCCGTACTTAAAGTGTTTCTTCTGTTGCACTGGCGAAAACATTGGTCTTTACGGTGCCTCCTCTGCTTTTGGCTGCCTTTTCCAAAGCATCCACGCCCGAAGCCGTGATAACGTCTGTCCACTCAGACCTCATCCGTTTGCCAGGGCATCCATGCCTGAACCCTAATAAAGTCCACTCCGACCGCATCCGTTCTGCAGAACACCCATGCCCGAATTGTCATAACGTCCGCTCCCACTCCTATCCGTTCCCGCAGAGCATCCATGCCCGAACCACTCCAACGCCACAGAGCATCAAAACCCAGCACTCCCCAACGAAGGTGACACCCCAGGTCACCAACCAGGCATGTAGTCTGAGCCGAGGATGCAGTTTTTCGTGGTCAGGAAAGACGGTGCATTCTGAAGCCGTCGATTTTGATGCTAAGCTGCTAAGCTGACGCCCCCTCATCAATGCATCGAGCTCCGTGTGGTATTGCTCGAATTGGCTCGAATGTTGGTGTCATCGCTCTATATCGCTCTCATCAGTCACGGCGCCCCAGTCGTTTCTGGATGGGCTTTGTTTGCCTCCATCTGTTTGGCCTCGCCAGCAGCCACCGCCACAGCGGCTTTCTGGCACTGCCTTTTGAAAGATTTTGAGACGATGCTTGGCCCTGACCGCCCTGCGCCGCTCTGCGCCTGGCCTTTCGGTGCCGCCTCCTTGATTCTCACGGGAAACCACCCCTGCTGAACGCCTTGCCCCGCCTTGCCTCGTTCGTCGCGGGGCCCTTGGCCAGACTGTGCGCACCCGCCGCCACACGGGAGCTGCCGCTCCCAAGCTGAGGCACACGCAGAAGATCTGCGGGCCATTGGCTCGAGCCTTCTAGTATGGGGTAGGGGCCATAAGCCATAAGCCTTGCAAGGTCAAGCCAGGACGGATAATGTCAATGATCCAGGGGAATCTGGAAGTGTAAATTAAGTGTAATCTTGGGTCCCAATGCTGAAAGGGCTTCGGGGAAATGGGTGCTCTTGGCCTGTCGCGAGGCATTGCAAAAACATCCGTTGATGCAGTGTTCAAGGCGCGTCAAAATGGCCTATGAGCTTGTTCCTGGTTCCAGCTGCATCGGACAAGGCGTGGCTGAGCTCATGGAGAACTGAGATGTGAATTTGCTTGTGTTTCACCTGCACGGCATCGAGCCTCGCGTGCCGTTAAGATCCGCACAGTTGCGCGACTCTCACCGAATCCACGCTTGATTTTGCTGGGTTTTGCTGGTGTTTGATGCGCAGGATGCGGCCACCAGTCCAAAGCTTTCAGGCCGCTGACCTCGGAGCCGTTCTTCACGCCCAGATGATCCTTTTGACTTCTTTTTACATTTGACTTTCTTGCCAGGTGGATTCTTTGATTTCGACGACTTGGAGGAGAAAGAGACCGAGATGGCCCAGAGAGCGCTTCGAGTGCAGAGTGCAGTTGTGAGTGCTTCAGGCTAGGAGCAATGTAGCAGATTTCAGCGTTTGTGTCGGTAGGTTATGGTAGGGTTTCACCGTTAGAAAGACACTCTTGCTCTAGGCCGTGGGAAGTGCTGGGTGGAAAGTGCTGTCAACGCGGTTGTCAATTCAGCACGCGTGTCACTCCATTGCGCTCGATTGCCTCTCCTCCGGCTGTTTGGCAGAGAACTCACAGCATGGTGGCATTAAGTGGCACTGTGTGAGCCTGCCTTCACTCCTCCAGCCTAGAAGAGGGACTGGAACAACGCAGAGAGCTTGCAGAAGGACTCGGTGTACTGTATGAGCTGTACTCGTGTTAATGGTGTGTTGGACACAGTGTCCTCGACCTGTGCTGTGTGTATGAGACCTACATCAAGCCCACAAGCAGGCCGGCATGCAAGAATGGTTGTATAGGAACCTGCACAACATCGGATACCTGCGAAAAACAGGTCGGATTTACAGAGGCTGGACACTTGCGGCCTGGTTTCTGGTGCGTTCCTCAAAGGGTCAGGCAAGTCGTGCGAAGCACTCCCATTGCTGTTCTGATCAGGCCATCATCTCCGCCTGTGATTCGCGGTTTGCCCCATGCCCTGTGCGGTTTGTCAGGGCTGCTACCCATAGTGTCCATAGTGGCATGAGCCGGCGCAAATCTATTGTTGTTGCCTTAATGACCCTCGACGCAAGAAGGTACAACTGTCATGCAAGTCGCTCTTGCAAGTGAGGCGCTCATTGGATGGCGTGCTGCCGTTCAAGGTGCCGCCGTTCCTGGCAGTAGGCCTGCTTGCTTTTGCCGGACTTCAGTGCGAAACGTGCTTTTGTTTCGTGAAGAACAGGCTGCGCTGTCGTGGAGACCACCAGGACCAGTTCGCCACCTACCTTTGCTTTGTGTACTAGCAACAAGCGATTTTACTGTGACCTCGCAGCCTTTTGCTTACATCCTGTTTTTTTGGTGTGTTGAACTGTTGTTTGTCTGCTAGCTGTTGGGGCCTGTTGCTGTTCATGTCGCCTGTTCCTGTGCAGCGCCTGGTGGGTCGTCCCACATCCACACCCACGCCCACACCCACACCCACCAGTCGAACCTCTAGACTCTAGAGGCAGCGTGAGCATTTGAGCCCGGCTCTGAACGCTTGATCATGAGCTGTGGCAGGCCACCCTGAAGGACGCAAACCCACGGTGCGGACGATTTCAATTCCAATGGTCTGAACAGCACCCAGGACACCCATATCAAGGTCGAGTCAGCAGGCGGGGGTGCACGACCTTGCTGGCAGCAAGCACTTCACACGGCACATCGATAGTGAGCTTTCAAGCCGCTCCTCGCGCGGCCGCAAAGGACAATGCAATCAGGATGCACCACCACGAAAAAACGCCCGGCACAGGCGCTGTGGCTGGTGTGCCCAGTTTGCAACTGCTGTGAGGCAGGATGCAGCTCTGCTTGATGCCAACCTCGATCGGGGAAACAGTCCCAAGGGACCAACTTCCCCAGAGGGCCATAGAGGGCCATGGCAGGCGAGGCGGGGATGCAACTCAAGCCAGGCTCGAGCAGGCCGCTGGCTGTGCAGCCTTTCTAATGTCTGGTACGTGTCATGCTGCTGACCAACTGGAGCTTTCCCCACCAAGAAATATGATGCATGTCAGTGTTCTGTAATAGAGCCGACCCAGATGCATTAAGACATGACAAGTTGCGCAGCTTCCGTCCTGAGTTGTTGTGGGGGTGGGGGTGGGGTGGGCAGCTACTATGGGCAAGTGCTTCAAGCTTCGGAGGATGATCTTTACTGTTTGCGGGCCAGTGTCCCGGATCTCCCAGTGTGCAGGACGAGCTTCCGGGTCGATGGAACGACAGAAGCGAGGGTACCGAGAAGGCATGTCTCCGACCGCGACGATGCCACTGTGGACAAGCATGCCACCTTTCAACAGGTGAGCTCTTCCACTGGTGAGGCCAGCCTGCTCAAGAGTGGACCTGATATCACTAGTCACTAGCAGCGAAAAGGTGGAGACCTCAGAGTCCATCGATCCTCAAGCGATCCTTCAACGTGTAGCCCCAAGTGAACCTGGTCAAGTTTCCGTTTCGCCTCCAAACGGACCTAGTAACGGACCGCCTTGACAGGTCTTGAAGAGCACCGGTTGTCCGATTTGCACCTGGCCTGCAAAGGGCAAAACGGCGCGACAGCACAGGACATAGTACGACAAATTCGACATGGTCTGCAAGCTGAGCGCAGGTCCCAAGCAGCTGCCCAAGACGGGGAGCCCGAAGCGATGCTCTTCTCTTTGCAGGCTCACAGATCACGTCGCCAAACATTGAACTGCAGGAGTATGCACGAGTTCGCAGGGTCGTCTGCGTACTGGCATGCTCTTTCAACACGGCATTGCTCCACTACGCTTGCAGATTCCAAAGCCGGCAACGTGTTGAAGTATGGGCCAAGACCAAGTCCTTACCACGAGCAGGATATGAAGGAGGAGCTCGATGCGTTTCGCTGGATCACAGCCGAGGTGCGGCAGTCGAAGCGGTTTGCATGTTGTGAAGCCTCGATGGAGATCGCAGGTTGTCGCCCGCCGGATTGAGCTTGAAGCATTGGAGCAGGCAGGGCCGAAGCTGTCATGAGCTTGATCAGTGGCGAAAGCTGCCCTGCAGGAAAATCAAGGTTTTCGAGAGGACGTATTCGCGTTTGGGAGCTTGCTTGGATTGGAAATGATTGTCCTTTGTTGCAGCACTGAAATTGTTTGCCGCGCTGCTTGATAGTCACCTGATGGAATGGGAAGCTCGTGTGGCAGGAACGGGCAAGTCTTCGTCGAAGGTATGAAGACATGATGGAGGAGGCATTCAATTCATGATCATTCATGGTTTGTGATTTGTGCCGCCATCGTACAACTTCACCAAAAAGTTGGTCGAGGCAGAGTTGGACGTGCCGGTCTCTTGGATTCCTTTGCGTGTCCAGTTTTGTCTCACATGTTGACAGTGGCGGTGGCGGGCTGTGCAAGTTGAGGCGAGAAGATGGCACCGCAAGTTGAGTCTGAAAATGCGAGGTCAGTTCGATTTTGCTACAGCCGTCCTTATTTCCTCAACCGTAGAATCGAAGAAGTCGCTCTGTCTGCTTTTCTTGCCTTACAGCGCGTTGCACCGGCGACAGTGTACGAGACGAATTTCTCAGAGTTCTGTTCAGACAAGGCAAATTAGCAAAAGTGCAATCACATTCAGTCGTTGGCCCCTGGTGCCCCAAGCCGGTTCGAGAGCACTCGCAGGGTAGTACTTCGACATCACATCATGCCAAATCTAGTTATAGACGACTGTCAGCGGTCTCCGGCCATGAGCTATGCCGTCAACTCAGCTCCGAACAGACAGACGAGCCGACGTCTGACTGCATGTCTTCCTGCCCAGGCCAATCCAGTGAGTGGTGGCTCATTGCATCTGCCCGGGGCCCCGGGCCTTGACTTGAGTCGCTGCATGTCGCTGCTCCGTCTCTGCGTACGTCGGAAGTTTGCAGCGAGGTTGCAGAGGCCGCACAACAAAACACTGCATGCTCGTAAGTAAGACATCTCTCCTTCGGAACTTACGCCGAACGCTCGTCTGCTTCTTCATGCTTCCTGGTTGCTGCGGCCTCAGGAGGCCGTCATCGAGATGCTGTCGTCGGCCTAGGGAGCAGATGGTCAGGACGGGCAAACGGTGAGATGGCAATCGGGGCTGAGCTTTGCCATATTTTGCCATGTAATGAGGAACCAGAGACAGCGCATGCAGCAACTCGAAATCAACAGTCATTTTCCGTAATCTGTGGTTTTGATTGTGGATGTGGTCAATGAGCGAATGCTGCTGTCAACGGCTGAACTCGGTTGACGATGTCCTCAATATGCGGTAGACAGCCCGGTGAATCTGCACGTACTTGCCATGGTGTTGCGAGGACTCTGATGGCAATACGGCTCGCAGCAGGCCTGGTGGTCCCGTTGCGGTAGTGAGTGCTGGTATCATTTTTCGCATTATTAATCAGATTGTTTTGTATTTTTTGTCCGTTCCGGGGTTTGCCTAAGCAAGCAAAGCATGCGATAGCCGTCAAGCAAGCAAGCAAGCAAGCAAGCAAGCAAGCAGGCAGCCCAGCAGGCAGACAGGCAGACAGGCAGGCAGGCGCACAGGCAGATGCAGGCAGGCACGCATGCACAGAGGCATAGGCAGGCACGCCTGCTTGACTTTAAACTTCTTACGTCAGGTGGAGGTTCTGTTTCTGCTGGAGCAGCGCACTTCTCACCTACCTAGAGCTTTTCAAGGGACGCGAATTGCGAATCGAGTCGAGATGAGAAAAATGGCAGGGGGCGTCCACTTCTGTTCGTGGGAGATGCGATCGAGTGTTTCAGAGAGTTGTGCTGTAATTTGCCTCAAGCGGAATAGCACACGCGCAACCATGGCCGAAACTCTGAAGAGTTTGGAGGCATGTTCCATTGATGGTGGTGGTGGTTAGTTGGGATGTTTGTTGTTCCAGGCACTTGGCTTGCCTGTGATGCGGCAGACCCCTGAGATGGAGCAAACTTATGTCAGTGGCCCAAGACTGTCGCGCGTGTATCCAAGGAACCCAGTCACGGAGCTCCGGTGGCCAAACCAGCTCGCGCCTCAGGCTGCTGATGTTCACACAACATTGGCCAACTCGCCGTTGTCACCAAGCGTGTTTTTGTTGATAGGCCGCGTGCTTCTGACGCTTT